AAATTCATGTAATCACGATATTATTGATAAAAGAACATAAGGTATTTTGATAAAAAAATTATCTAAATCGACAAAAATCAAAACTTGTTAAATATAATCTCGTAATATGTCTGCATGTATTTTATCATAGAAATTATATAATATACATATAAATTAATAATGAACAATATTCTGGAATGGCGGGACGTCTTCAATACCTAAAAATGATTTTAAAATAATAGTTAAAAAATTAAATATATATATTCGTAATCATATTTTTTTGTTAGAGCAATCATCGAAAAATAACCAAATTATTTGCATAAAGCATAAATTTATTTACTTAACAATTTGGATTTAAAAAAATAATCATTATATATATATCCATACATTAATTATATAATATTAAATTCGTATTGTTATTAAGATATAGTACTATTACTAACATTATTATTACTAGTGGGAGAACATTTAATAAAACAAAAAAAGCGACGAAAATTGTATGTTAAAGTATACTACTAAATTAATTTCGTAACTTGATTTTAAAATATATAGCATATAATTGTCTGACTCATTGACAAAATTATTACTTCCAGTGCAAGACGAGAAAACTTGGGATTAATTTCGATTCTGTACAAGAACTTCCAACAAGATACCAAACTAGACTTTGCGAATGGACTTTACAGAAAGCGACGAGGAATAAGTCTTCATATGATATTGTAAAAATAATTTCGATTTTCTATCGGTACAAATCACGCATTCACTGCATCAACACAACTTGACGCGAGGGACAGCGATAAGGCTTTCGTACATAATAAATTAATCATTAATATTTGTAATTTTTTAATGTTAAAAATATAAATGTAAAAAACAAACAAGAAGTTAATATTTAATCTATATTACCTCAAAGCAGTCAAAGCTCGAATCTTTACTGACTTATTTAATAAATTAAATAGACGAAAAATTGACGATTATGTTAAGCATCAAATTTTTAATTAAAAGTATTTTAATTAAAGTCACTTAAAATTATTAATGACTTTTTCATATTTACAATAAAATCCAAATTAAAAAAAATTTTAATTAAACATCTATCAAATTCATTAAATTAATAAACAATTTTTGTTATCATATGGTTCGTCGATTTCGTGTAACTTACATCAATAAAGCAACAATAAATTTGATTTACTACGACAAGATAAATGTTATCTGTATGGAATAGATGTATTTAATATGAATATATAAACATTCCAATAAATGTATAATTCAAATTAATAATTATTGCGGAAATTACAAAAATAAACATGATGGCATTTACCTAGACATAGTTCACATAAATTTTATATTACGTATGTAATATTATTATACATACATTTATTTATGATAAAATTAATTAC